CTCTAAAAGTGTACGGTGAGCCAATCAGACATGTACAAGATTTCAAGTACCTGGGCTCAATAATGGCATCTAGCTCAAACGATTTAAAAAGACGTTTGGGGCTAGCATGGAGTGCGTTCTGGAATCTAGAGCATCTCTGGAGGAGCAACAAACTGCCTATCAAGACCAAAGTGAAGTTGTTCAACACAACATGCATCACAGTCCTCATCTATGGGTGTGAATCCTGGGTAATAACAAAAGCCATGGAGGASAAAATCAACTCCTTCGCAACATCCTGCTTAAGAGTTATGCTCGGAGTCAAACGAACGGACCGAATCCCAAACACAGAGATACACGCCAGGACTGAAACAAAACCATTGATTCAGCAAGTTATAACACGTCAGCTGAAATTTTTGGGTCATATCCTGCGACTCCCCGACAAGGAACCCGTCAAGTGCTATGCTCTATATATCCCACCCCACGGAAAGAGGAGACCAGGCCGACCACGAATGTCGTATCTTAAATACATTCAACAGCGGCTGGGGACGGCGATGGCTCTCTTCGGCCTGATCAGATAGCAGTCATGGCGCAAAACAGTGGACAATGGAGAGGGATTGTGGTCGCCTGCACTGCAATATAAATTGATATTTCATTTTCAATTGCTTCGTGGAATTTTCTTTTTTCCGGCTTTTTCTCTCTTGGGAGATAATATGACTTTCGTGATTTCGTAGTCGCAATTTTGGTCGTGTTTTGTGATGCCTGTGTTCATTCTCTCTGAGGATAACTTTACTTCAGGCTGTGTTCCTTCAGGCTCATTTTCCATTTTCTACCTGTCTCTTCCGCGTAGGCTGCAGTTACATGGAATCTTGAATTCATACAACACTTGTTTTTTTGTGCGTTGGTTTTAATGTCCTTGACTTTTGTTCCTGATCGCAGGTCATCTTGAATTGTTTTTTTTTCTTAACGGTGCGCTTGAATGCGTGTGATAAACATTAGATGTATAGGATGAYTATAGTTCCTTTTTCTTCGACTGCATCTTTTTCCGCATTGGTTCTTTTTGTGTCCTTTCCGTTCATAACGTCATTGATTTGTTGTGAGTAGACATTGGCTATTAATATCTCTTCTGTATWAGTTATATGTTTCTGTCTGCAAGTGCTCTTCGTCACATAGGTGTTTGCTCTCTCTGTAAACTCTTTAATTATATTTCTGTCTTTACGTATGGGGGCTTGATTAGATTTCCTCTTAACGTTGATGTTTGTGTTTGTCGCCTTGTAATGTACCGTACGTGGATTCAATTCGTTTGATCTTGCAGTTAATATGACACACGGATAGTGTGGTTCAATAATTACGTGTTTACTCCAGGTTCAATAATGTTGATGAGGTCTAGTATGGCTTTGACTTCGTTTTAAGCTCTGAATCATCCACGTACCATGAAGGTTTCAACTGAGTTTTGGCAAAAGAATGATGTCAATTTCACCTGTTGATTCCAGTCCTATATCGGACACTATCCAGAATGTAATGTTTTCCGCCCTATTCAGAATATTGTAGATTTTATTCATTATAGCTTGGACGCTTCACCTTTTGATCTTGTGAAGGTCTCGTTTTGTAGTTTCATGAGTTCCAATGGGGATGGATGGGTATAGGTTGGCTAAGTCATACCTGACGATTGTTTCATCTCCTTCTATCGTCCATTCTTTAACTGTTGTTCTTTAATTCACGGGAGTTTTAACATATTGTCCACTGAGACCCTGGATGGATTTGAAGATAGGTTTGAGAGATCTTATCTTAGGGGTTCCTAAAGTGGATACAACGCTTCGCAAGAGGATGTTATCTTGTGTATTTTTGGATATCCAATGAGCCTTGCGACGTGGCAGTCTTGTGGCTTGAGGTATCTGGTCCTCTTTTCGTCGATTTTGCCGTTTTCCTGCATCTCATTTATGATTGCTCTACATTTTCTACTTATCACCTCTGTTTAACAGACCAGTTTTATCATCTAATAATCGATGGTCTTACTTTCAAGGCGTTTTAAGATCTTTCGAAAAATAGTCGTGTCAGAGTTCCTCRAGGTGAAAATAAAAGTAATGGATGTAAATTAACCTTCATAAAAAAAGGAAAAGAAAACACGCTGGAAAAATCTAATATAAACAAAAACAAATTAAAATGTTTTAAAATATGGAAACTTTTCGAGGTCTTCAAGGTTCACAAACAGATTAATAAAAACATTTGTTAAGGTACCCTGCACGTGTTTATTTAAGTGAGCATAGTCATGGGGTTGTATGAATAGAGTGATGTAACCTCGAATAACGAATACTGTAGTATAAAAAATAGAAGCAATACGCTTTCTAGTAATCTGTGAAATGAAACGAACCGAACCGAACCGAACCGAACTGAATAAAGAAGTCAAGATTGGATTTTTTCTGAACGATATAAACAACATTGGTAGTGGTTAAATTAACAATCTAATCCAGTTACCAGTTCATATTGATAACTTAATTCTGAAAAGCTTTTTTTACAAATAGTATTTTTAACACTATGTTTATTGGTCTTATAGCTGGTCGAGTGTATACAATTCGTTTTACCCAAATTTTAACGATGCATTTTCGAGTTTTCAAGCAACTTAAATTGCTAAATCATTATCCAAATAAATGAATTCTTCCTCATAAATTAGATAAATAGCTAAACCATGAGGTAAAACGTAAGCTTACTGCTCACTCGAGTTCACCTGCTTGGACACKGAATCCCAAACTTTGCCGTCGATTTACACTAACAAAAAATATCAGTATATAATCTTATCTCTTTTTCAACTATTCACACCATCAGCTTGATTCTTGAGCATTGCAAATAACTCTAAAACCTGATGKAAAAATCACACGACGTCTATCTACTTCGGTTTTCAAGGTGAATGACATGTATTCTCTTAARCTAATTGTTCCTTACAGTGCACTGTCCCATCTTTTACACGAAGCCTTGATTGACATGAAGCTTTCCTAMAAAAAGTACAAGGATCTACAAGGAAACCGGCAAAATCGGTGAACTGATCAACCAATTAAGTTTCATGGCAGCGACGGAGCGACGACGAGAATCGACATTCTTATCGGTCGATGATCGGAAAATACTCGAGCGTTACGACTGGTTACGAACAGTGTTTTATACCTTGTCRCAGATTAGTTTTTGATCACAGGTAATCCGCATTTTTCTAAGAGCGCGCGTCGATAACGAAAGCGTGCGCATTCGTTCTTTTCTTTCTCTCAAGCAATAGGTAGGCGGCGTATGGTTGAAGAAAAAATTATTGAATGCGCATGCAAGAGAATATTGGAAGGTAGTCAAAAGACGGATTTACACGGTACGTTCGACAAGTGGTAGGATTTTGAGCCGTGGTTCCAAATCTTAATATAAGTTGCCTACGATCGAATGTTGYAGGCAAGTCGTAGGGTAATTTAAACGGCACAACTTGGAGCTAATTTGAGACTAGTATACTACTTGTCGCACAAGACAATCATACCGGTTGATTCGGACTAAAGGTGTCAGAGCGGATTTCGTATGACTGTGCAACGGCACGCATCACAACACGGAAACGGCACGGTACGGTCACGGAACCTCGCCTTCTAGAATTCCAAATGAAAATAAAGATTTAACAATACAACACCGCTACCGCACGGTACGGTCACAGTGCGAAAGTACCGTGTTTTTTGCACAGTCATACGAAATGCGCTCTATGCAGTTACACTCTGAGGGAACGCACAGGATAAAATCATTGGTTAAAAGAAACTCATCTGTGGTGTCTSTCGAAAACTTTTCTTTTTTTGCTTGAGTTCTCTGAGGTTGACGACTGAAACAGTATTTTCCCGACATGCCATCGTGCACTGCTGAGATGATGAACTATTATTAGTTGGAACAAGAAAACAGGCTTGATTCAATTGGTTGAAGGCATGTCTTCTTACTTAGGAAGGCAGTTGATTTTCGGCATATACTAAGAGTGTAATAAATGGTACTAATCATTAACAAATGGTGACAAGCTGTTATAATTTTTAAAAATAACACAACACTTTTAAATTTCAAAGACATATGTTTCGACTTTCATAAAGCCATCTTCAGTTTGAATGTGATTACATTTTACAATCAGTTATATAGTAGTAATAGATAATATGATTAAATTATAACGGTCAAAAGTAAACTAAAACAAGAGATGAGATTACAAGTGGATAGTGGTATTATAGTGTTTGACCTGAGTATTAAGTTCAGGTTTAAAATGATT